ATAACTGAAGGCCTGACAAATGCCTCATAGAAGAAATTTTAACCTCAAAATAGATCCTTGAGATAGAGAAATTGCATTTCAAACTAGGAAACGATTCTTGGGTTAGATTAACTTCATTCGTGCTCCTTGAACAAGCACCAGAGTAAACCTGAGTTGCCTCTGCTTTGTGCAGATAGCTGGATGACTTACAGATGTCTAATTTAGTCTAAATTATTCTACGATATTATAACTCTATGAATTAGGAATTCAACTTATAACTTAATATTTTTTAATTTTTTTACATTTTTAGACTTTCTTCCTCTCTGACTTCACTGGCTGTGAAAAATTGCAACCAAACATGAACCAAAGTATCCTGAAATACTACTCACTTCTATGCAGGATCACAAGCAATTTTCCTTGCCATCTTACAACAATTATGTGTGAGGTTTTAAACTGTCATTTATCTTTACTTAGATTCTTTGTAAAGCCATTAGTGGAGCTGTAAGACAACACAGTAAAGTGCATTGGCAATGTAAGTCAATTCTGCTTCCTGACTGGATAGCCTTATGCCTCCAGTAAACCTTGTGTAAATAATGAACCATATATACCTGAACACATGAAATATGAGTGTGATCCTGGCAGTGGTACATATTCAATGTGCTATTCCCTCCTACACTGTTGAAGTAGTTTGTTGCCTTCATGTCCTATAGGATCCTTCCAATCGCAGAATCACAGAATCAGAATATTTGGGGTTGGAATGGACCTCAGGAGATCATCTAGTCCAATCCCCCTGCCAAGGCAGGAGCACATAGGGCAAGTTGCACAGGAACACGTTCAGGTGGGTTTTGAATGTCCCTAGACAGGGAGATTCCACAATGTTTCTCGGCAGCCTGTTTCAGTGCTCTGCCAACCTCAATGTAAAGAAATTATTCGCATGTTGAGGTGAAACTTCATATGGACGTATCTATGAAAGTCTCTTTCATTGGGTAAGTTTAGAACATCTTTTCCAAATCAGAACTAAATATGTAGTGTAAGATGAATACAGATGTGTAAGATATGTGACATCTACCCTAAATCTTTTCAGTTTATTATACCTTGTAAAGAAGATGTCTTCTCTTTAAAGATTCCAGGTGGTATTATCAGCAGCTAAGCAACACAAAATACAGAAAGCAGAACCTGCAATATTTGATTTTTTTAGTTATTGTATGCATTTCTATTCAGAATTGACATAAAGGCAAATGGAAGATTTTTGTCTTCTGTTCAAAGCTTGACATGGGAATGTTTAACGATGTCTACGTCTGCTTCTGGTACTAATCATCCACTGTAAGCCTGTGCCTATAATCATCCATAAAAGATACATTCTACAGAGTCTAAGAAACTCAGCTGGTAAATGGGCTGGCTAAGAGCACAGAAGACAGATCTCTTCCTGCCTTTCAAAACGGCTAAAAGTTTTAGAACTAAATGGAAATTTTTCAGTTTTGTTTCTTTACAAACTTGCTCACTGCTTATTAATTAATGCTGGTAACTGCCACAGGCAAGAACAATCTTTGATAAAGATAAAAATCTGAAAGAAATTATAAAGCATACAACTTGAATTATTCAAACACTTCAACAAATAGCTCACATGTAATTTTAACTGCATTTTTCTGCTTCCTTCCTTGTTTACTTACCTTTTCATCTTTGCTGCTATTTTTTCCTTAATCGCTCTCATAATCCCATACACATATAACTGTATGGAGTTTTCAATTTTCTATTTGTCTTTACTTTCTCACATATCCCATGAGGCTCTGACCCTACTCCTGCATGTTCCTACCCACATCTTTCTCATAAATATTCAAAGCCATAATTCTTCCCTCACACAAACATTCCTGAGTCACATTTTTCTCTTCAAAGATCTCTGTCCTTCATATGCCTTGCCTTTTCCCTTGGTACTTATATTCACACACTGATACTCTCTTTCCTGACCGATTTTTTTACTTGTGTTGTCTCCCTCTCTCTTCCTCAAACATGCTTACAAATACTTGGGTGATTCTGTTCTCCACCATTTTATTCATACCATTGCTCTTCTTTTTTCTTCTAATGGATCCAGTGTAAAGGAAGGAGACAGCTGTATTTGGCCATGTGCTCTTCATAATAAATAGCCATAGCTATTTATTGTCATGACAGTGAAGTTTAATGAAATTCCAGTTACAATAACGTATCTATTTCCACTTCCGTATCCATTTCTGGGTATTACACTAACAGCAGAGCCTACAAAATGCACCATCAAAAATAGAGCTAGCGCTCGCTGAGAGTGAAGGCAAGGAGGAGGTCACTTAGGAGAAGAGAAAAAGCAAAAGGGATGGTATGAAGTGGTTTAGTGTTTCTTTTACACCAGTTACAGTGCTTAAGGAAATAAATTACTGATATACTAGAAACAAAAATGTTTCTAGAGACACTAGTTTAGGAATGGAGGGAGGTTAGCTGTAATATTCTTGCCTATCAAACCTTGGAAGAGATTCCACACTCCCGTAAGGTATTTTGTTCCACATGCTACTACTATCACATTTTAGAAAGCTTTGTCTAACACTGAACTTTCTGAATAGTTTAGTTGATTCAATTTTTCCTCCATCCCAGAAACAAAGAAATATCCTTGTCCTTTTCACAGCAACACTTTCCATATAAAGAAATCATTTATTTTCAGTCTTCTCTGGATAAATAGATAGTATTCTTTCAACTTTTACACATTTTAGTTTCTACAAGTTTTAGTATTTTGTTATTTTCCTCTGGACTGCCCTTAGTTTGAGGCTTATCACAGCTGGCTTCATCAATCCTAGCAGAAAAATAATTTGTCCTGTCAGGAGTACTGCACACCTATTAATACACTCCTCAATGCCTTGTCTTTAATGGCAGCACATTGCTGACTCATATTTACTTTGCAGTCCATTACAGCCCCCAGATTCCCTTCTGAAGTGCTGCTGTTTTACCAGTATCCTTTTGATTCTTCTTCCCAAATGTGATTTGCATTTGTCAGTATTAAGTTTCCTCCTGATGGTTCCAAGACATTCCTTTAATTTGTTAAAATCATTCTGACTTCCAACAGTGGCTACCAAAGCACCAAGAGGTCCTTCTAGCTTGCTGTCACCTCTGTATTTCATTATTTCATCATTCACATCACTAACAATCTGCAGAACACAAACTGCCTACAAGATCAAGCAGTTAACATGCAAAAGTGTATCACATAGGGAATTCTGCTTAAATAGCATTACTTTTATTAGGCAGAATATGAATTCTTCATTACTCTTACAATAACAAATGATGCAGAACCTACCACATTCCCATGTCCTGCTACTGTGTGTTATGAAAATTCTATACATCTACTCTGTATGTGTTTTAATTCTGGCCATTGACCTCAACTATTGGAGTAAGGAGATTTCAGCTGTCGCCTGTACATTCTGCTCCCAGGCTGTTCTGCATCATGATCAATATCTTCGCTTTTTTTTTTTTTTTCCCAGGATGCATTATTGTGATAGTTTGCCTTAATGTGTATCACACCACATTCCTTAGACTAGGTAACATATCAAAGGACTGTACAAAATGCCACATTAACCATAAAATCTCTGCAAGAGTGGTTTATCTGCCCTGCACAATATCCAGCACAAAGTCTGTTAGTGCTACAGGTATTCTCACATTGTTTTCCCTTGAATACGCGACTCACTGGACTCATTAAAATAGATTTTCAATCAACACAATGCCCAGATTTTTCTCAGCTTGTTTATGTCACTGTTAATTACATTACCAGGATTTCTGTGAACTTTGTCAGCAACGATTCAGGATTTTCTTCTGAGCTGCAAAAGGAATAAATGGCCCCAGGACGCCCTCTGGACTTCACAATCATCCGTCCCCTGAACTTCAGACACTCCATCCCTCCGCCTCAGCTACCATCCAACCTCCTTTACAACTGCCTGAAAGGCGGTTCTAGCGGGTTGGGGATCAATCTCTTCTCCCAGGTAACAAGTGACTGCACAAGACGAAACGGCCTCAAGCTGCACCAGGGGAGGTTTAGGTTGGGTATTAGGAAAAAATTCTTCACTTACAGGGTGGTCAGGTATTGTAACAAGCTTCCTAGGGCAGTGGTGGAGTCACCGTCCCTGGAAGTATTCAAAAACGTGTAAATGAGGCCCTCAGCGACATGGTTTCGTGGTGAACCTGGCAGTCCTGAGGTAACTAACGGTTGGACTTGATGATCTCAAAGGTCTTTTCCAACTTCCTTGATACAAAGATTTTATGACCTCGGTGTGCCGCTCGCTCTGCCAGCTCCTCCGCCGCGGTCCGTCTCGGTGCGTGCAGAGGTACCGAGGCGGCGCGGGTAGGGGAGAGGACGGGCAGATGGGTCGCACCCGGTGGCGGCTGGGGGGACGCCGAGGCTGAAAGAGCCACCCCCCCCCGGCGGCCGCTCCGGGCTGCCGCCGAAAGGAAGCAAGCGGCGCACATGGCGGCCGGTGAAGCCCCCTGGCGACATGCAGACCCCTGACCGCACTGGGAGGGATCCGGGCTCCTCTTCGTGAGGAGGGGAGAGATGGTCCACCCTGCCAGCAGACCGGGCACCTGTACAGCTGCTGGGGTACGCCCGTGCAAGGAAAGGCCGAGAGCACCTCCCACGCGGCCCCCCCGCGACAGCCGCTCTCAGCTGCAGCGCGCTGGCAGCCAGCTGTCTGCGGGCCCCGCGCGGCCGCACGGCGGAAGAGCGGCAGGGCCGCCTGGCGGACCCGCTGCCTGTGAAACGCCTACTAGGCGGGGCCATGTAGATTTCGGCTGAACATTCTGGAGTGGAGGGGAGCGACGGGGGGAGATGTGAGGCGAGGCAAGGAAAGGGTAGGCTAGGCCGGGCCGGACCGGGCCGGGCCAGGCCAGGCAAGGTAGTGCGCCGAGCTGAGCCGCGCCGGTCCGAGCCAAGCCGAGCCGAGCCGAGCTGAGCAGAGCCGCGCCCGCGCCGCGCCGCTAGGCCGGCCTTCCCTTGGAGGGGGAGGAGATAGAAGGAGGAGGGAGAAGAGGAGGAGGAGGGGGAGGGGGAGGAGGGAGAGAAGGGAGGACACGGGGAGGCGGTTGCTGGTGCTGGCCAGAGGGGAGTCGTGCAGGAGCTGTGGCTGCACTCGGACGCCGCATTCCCTCTTTACGGGACTGGTGGTGAGGATGAGCGAGAGCTGACCCTGCCCCTGCCGCCGCCAGTGCTGTGAAGTGTCTGCTGCTCCTCCTGCTCCTCCCCTGCTGTGGGTGAACCTGCGCTACGGGCTCTTCACCGACACGGCCGGGGGTTGGTTTGTTTGTGTATTTGTTTAAGGCAAGGTGAGAGAAAGAGATCTTCCACCCGCTGAAGCACAGTTCACTATGATCGTACTCGCATCCAGCACTAGAAGCCGGTTGGATTTCGTGTCTCAGTCCAGGGTGTTTTTCTTGCAAACCTTCCTTTGGATTTTATGTGCTACAGTGTGCAAAGCGGAGCAGTATTTCAATGTGGAGGTAAGATCAGCCGTGTGCGTGTGCGATCGTGTGTGCTCCCCCTCTCCCGTTCCCCCTTCCCTTTTCTTACATCCCTTAAATGAAATGAAATAGCCAGTCAGCTATGTCTTCCAGCAGTCAGGGCAGAGGTCTGTGGTGGCTTTCTTTCCAGCAGCCTACAGCTACCTCCGCTCCCTGAGTTCCCCGCCCGGTGGATGCGTTTCGACCGAAGATCCCGATGTCCGCGGCCGCACAAAGCGCCGAGCTGGGCGCCAGGCGCAGCCTCAGCAGCCGCTCTGCCCTCACCCGCCCAGCGCGGAGGGGAGACCCTTGCCTTGGGCACGTGGGGACTCTTGGGGAGAAGGATGTATCTCAGGGAAGACTGCATATCTTGGGCGTAAGAGAACACTGTATTGCTGAGTTTTCCTTTTTAAATGAACGAATGAAAGAGTCTTATGGGAACAGGAGGAAGGAAACTTAAGATTTTGGCACGTTTCTTTGTGGTAAAGTATTTTACAAGATAACATCTTTTTCCTATTAAAAGATAACAAAGTTGCCACGGCACGAAGGTGCAAGTATAGCACAGAAGTTGGAGGGTGTGGAGGACCAGGAAACAGCATTTTTCCAAGTGAAAAAGATAATAAAATGTGGGGATGCCTAGATGGGGCAAAGTTTATGACACTGAGAATTCAGTGGGCATCCACTTCCAGTCAATCTTCTGTACATTCCCAGTTTTCCCGTCTGGGGTTTTTGCGTAGTGCTTTTTGTTAACTGATGTTCCTTTACTGACTTTATCATTTTTGCATATATTCTTCTTTTCTTTTTCTCTCTCTTTTCGTTCTGCTGTGAGCCCCGTTTCTTAATCTGTTTCAACGTGATGTATTTCCCTCTTCCTTTCCCTGTCTGTTCGACTTCATCTTTTTTGTCATGTGTCTCTTTTTAATTTAATATGGGCTCTTTCAACTTCTGTTTTTCTCTTAAATCCTTGTGTGCCTTCACTTTCTTCCATCCTGCCAGTGCCACTCCAAACTTTATGCTGCACCCATCCATTGCCCTCGTTTTTGTTTCTAGTTGCTTTCATCCCCTGGGTTCCCACAATTCTTTCAGAGAATAAAGCCTGTGTCTTTTTCTCTGTCTCGCACATATGCACGCTTGCTTGTTTCATATGAGCTCTTGTTCTCACTCACTCTTATTTTTGCTACTGTCTCTGTCAGAATCACTCCTGCAGATGATCTCTGTTCCTAGACTTTCTTTGTCTGAAGTTTTTACCTGTACTTCTTCCCTTTCTGAGGCATGCAAGATGACCTCAAATGTATAAACCTCCCCCACTTTTTCTTTCCCCATGACTGCTTTCATTCAAGTCTTTCCCTCTCTATAGGCAGTTTCCCTTGCCACATGCAATCCTCTCAGCCTAACAACACACAACCATAGCTTGTCTCTGACTTTTATTTCTTCAGACAGTATTGTCTTTTACTCCATCATTAAGGTCTTTCCTGTTTATAAGTCCTAGTCTTTCTTTTTTCTCGTCTACGTTCTAGTTGGTCTTGTTTGTTCCTTATAAGCAGTGTGCATCTCTGCTTCTGTTTGACTGTAAGCTCTTTGGGGCAGGACTCGTGTCTTCTTGCATGTTTATGTGGTGTGTACTGTGCTCAGGTCCAGAGTACAATTGTGAGACTTTTGCTGTATAAATACTAAAGTAAAAAATTTCAGAATGCATGTTGAAGTTTTATTCTTCTTTTGCTCATGTCCTCAGCTGCCTTCTTTACCGATGAGCAGGGGAAGACAGTATGGAAGAGAGGAAGTTGCTCTCTGTATCCTCTCCAGGCTTCACAGGCTGGCCCCCTGCAGGGTATAGGGAAGAAATTCCAGCGACAGAATTTTCTCCTCCCACAGTAGTCTGCTTTTCTGGCATCTGGCTCTGCTGGAGAGACGGGCGGCAGATGGAGCTAGTGTGGGAGGAGAAAAAAGATTGGTTTAGTCAAGTGGAATATGAACAGGAGGCCAACTCCAGTCAGGAGGTTTTATAAGAAGGGAAGCACTTTCTTTTTTGCCACCTCTTCCATATGGAAAACAGTACATTTTGAGGGCAAAGGCAGTATTGGAAGCAAGAAACACTGCTGGGTGGAATGAAGTAGCATGTGCGTGTGATGAGCACATATTTCTCCCTTTGAAATAGGCCATCTCCTGTTCTTCATCTCAGTTCTTCAGAAACAAAGTGTGTTATCATATGTCAGTGCTCCCAGTCTCTTTTCATATTTAAGTCTGAGCAACAGATTGCTGGGAGCTAAAAGAGTTGCAGGGAGTTACTCTGGTATTTTAAGTTTTCCTAATATGAGGCTTTACCCTGGGCCTTTGACAACTCTCAGTGACATGGTCCTGGGCTGTGTAGACCTAAGATCTGCCCCAGAACAGCCATTGCCATGTTCGCGTTGTTTGAATAGCACTAAAAATTCAACTTTCTTTTCACTGGGAATAGCAAAGGCTAAAAGCAGGGGAAATTTGAGGCAAAAGAGTTGGCAACAGCATGCATGTATTGTGCTGTACAACCCTGTGTGTCAGCACAAGTGCATAAACCACTTGTACTTAATAGTAAATTGTGAAAATATGACAAGTATTTCTTATAGCAATAAGAATATGCAAAGTACGGTTCAGGAAAGAAGTAGTGTACATACAGTTGAATGAAATGTTACTGAAAAATGCTTAGGGTGGTTAGAAAGCAGTGTTTTGTTTTGTTTTTTTCCATTTCTTACTGTCTCTAAACAAAGTCCAGATAATACCTGTTGAACATTAGAAAATGTGGAGATCATTTATTTCCTTTTGTTGTTCTGTTGATTTAATCCACATTCCTGACTGATAGACAAAATGTGTGCAATAGTATATGATGCTTTGTTTTGGGTTGTTTGTTTCGATGTAGGTTTGTTAGGCTATGAGCCAGGGCAGTCCTTAGCAGATACTACCATAGCTCAAAGATATTAAATAATGATGTTATCTTTTAAAAGAAAAAGAAAGCTGAAGTTTGCAAGCTTGTGTAAACATTATTGTTCCTCGTAGTTTGATTGCCCTCTGTGAAATTTCTTTTAACCATGCATTTTCATGGATGAAGTCTTTAAGTTTCCAATGATAGCCGAGTTGTCAGTCCAGAAATGTATTCATGTATGTAATATTTCATGTGTAGACATAGTTGCGTAGGATTCAGATATCGGAGTACAGGAATCTGGAGGGGCACAATTGCTCTCTTGAGCCAGTAAGAGGTTTATGGTAAAGCTGCATGACAGATGATTGTAAACTGATATTTAATCATGATAAGGCTTAGGGTTCACACAATCTTATGTGTTGGAAGGTTTTAGCATTAATTTTCAAGGTCCAGTGATTGCCAGTAGCATTTTTGTGAGACTTTGTTTCTGACATCATGAGAAAAGCTAAGGTAGCTCCATCTTCTCAGTGCTGAACTACTGGTCCAAAACAATAACTTCACTAAGTAAGTGCAGAAATGGAACAATTAGTCCGTCAGTATAGAGATTGTGTACTATTTTCAGCTATTTCTGTACATTTGCAGAGGAAGGTAGACATGAATAAGATAGTGGATGGAATAATAGTTGTTTACATTTTAAATGGAGGTGATCCTGCCCCTCTGCTCTGCTCTTGTGAGACCTCACTTGGGGTATGGTGTACAGTTCTGGTATCCTCAACATAAGAAGGACATGGAACTGTTGGAACAAGTCCAGAGGAGGGCCACGAGGATGATCAGGGGACTGGAGCACCTCCTGTATGAAGACCGGCTGAGAATGTTGGGGCTGTTCAACCTGGAGAAGAGAAGGCTGCGTGGAGATCTCATAGCAGCCTTCCAGTATCTGAAAGGGTGTTTATAGGGATGCTGGGGAGGGACTTTTCATTAGGGACTGTATTGACAGGACAAGCGGTAATGAGTTTGAACTTAAACAGGGGAAATTTAGATTGGATATAAGGAGGAAGTTCTTTATTGTAAGGGTGGTGAGGCACTGGAATGGGTTGCCCAAGGAAGTTGTGAATGCTCCTTCCCTCATGATGTTCAAGGCCGATTTGGACAGCGCCTTGGGAGACATGGTTCAGTGTGAGGTGTCCCTGCCTATGGCAGGGGGTTGGTTCTTTCCAACCCTAACTATTCTATGATTCTATGTTATTTGGAGTGTCTGCAGATGGTCTTTCACAGGTATCATCAATATAGACTACTTATATATACATGTTTTCCTAAAGCCAACAATATTGAGCTGGTATCATCCTGTGAGTTTATCTTCTAATGTTATCTTTTGATTTATTTATATATTTGAATTATATGTGTTTGTATATTTACTATGAAGTACTCAATAGAAAATAAATTAAAAAATGATGTCACTGTTTTGTTAAGGGAAAAATGGTTACTGAAACAAGAATACCTTGTTTGGAAGACAGGATCATCATACATCTAAAATAAGATTAATCTCCGGATGCTAATACTGCCTACTGTTACTCAACTAAGCATCTGTGTAAACCCTGTTGAGCAAAGAAGTATTTTTTTAGAATATCACCTAGCTTCATTGACTGCATCTGTGATGTGGAAAACACTAGAGAGAAAGCATGCTTCAGAATCATCTTTCTCCTCAAGCTGGCTGTTATGCTTTGTTTTCCTTCTTCTAGTGCTAAATATTTAGACTTGAATTCCTAGGGTAGGTCTGAAAATTATGCACCTCTGTAAGGCCATACAGTTATTTCTCTGTTTTCAGAGGTGGAAGAGTTAAATTGCATACTGTGGAACAAAATACAGTAGAATTTTCAGGAAAATACCATTACTTTCCTTCATGGTAATAAGTGCCTGTGAACCCCATTGTTTTCACCATTAATAACTTTACAATTAGCCTTCAGGTTCTGCTGAATGGTAAAGCGTGACCTTTTCTCCCATAGGCTTTGGGCCTTTTAAGCTTAAAACCAGACCAGTTTAATTCTTCAGCTGGTATCTGAAAGGGAATAAACATTTGGAATGGGATAAAGTCCTCCAGTATCACCTT